TGTATTGTAGCATATGTTTTTATTGAAAATCTTTAACATATGGAGCAATTTTACGGGTAAGTATTATTGAACGCGCAACAAGATTTTCTTATTTATATGATAAACATTATCAAAATTAAAGATAGTCTTTTTTAGTTATTTAAAACAAAGTAATTTTAGTAAATAAGTATGTTTTAGTAAATATAAACTAAAATGTTTTTTTCGTTCATTTACAACTGTAATGTATAGTCCCCGTCTCTAAACAAAACTTATTGTAATTATACTGTTCTTAAATAAGCTTCAATAATTGAATACAAATAAATAATAACTACGGATAATTTTATTGTTAATTCCCTCCAAGCTTGCCATAATTTCGTTAAATAAAGTTAGATATATTTTTTGGTGTTTTAATGTTAATATTACTTTTTAATAAACAACTTTGGCTTCAACGAGCGACTCTCATCCCTGAAGTCATAGGTTGGATCCTATACTGTGCACTAGTTGACTTTGTATATGTGCTCATTAAACACTCGTTGTTACGGTCAAGGAAAACGTGAGGAAACTGACATGCCTTAGCCTAAAAATGATACGGAATAGATACAGAAATTTGAGGCTCATCTAGACCTAAAAGGTTGTATCGCCACTGGTTCTATTATGTCACCTTAATACGTTGCATGTTGTGATAATATTTATTCTACCATAGTACAAATAGTATATTTATAGAGAAGCAAGGACAATATCGTTGAATCCTATATCTGAAGCAAACAATAAAATGAGTTTTCCTGTTGACCTTTCAGACAAAGCGACGTAGGTATCGCAAGTGCGTTTCAACAATACTCCTATAATGGTGTCGAGAAAAATATTGCTCCAAGTAAATTGAAGAAATCGCTTAAGATTATCTTTTTAAGTATAACATAAACTTGTAATATGAATAAATAATTTCACCCACTCTTAGAAATACATATTTTTATTCATTTCTTGTTTAAACTGATTTGACGTGGCAGTTGTATATAGTATTTTGGTAAGTTGAAAATTACAAAATGCATATTTAGTAACAAGTTCTGCAGCTAAAACTTAGCAGGAGAGTAAACATAAGTGATTCGTACAAAATCGTATAATGAATACTGAGCAGTGAAATAGCTGAATGGTCAGTTACGAGAGGGCCATCCTAAACATAACCAAACTTAACCTGAACTAAAACTGCCGAACTATTTAACTGCCCAATCCATCATTTTTAACCGGCCATTTATTTACAAATCTGCTTACGTATTTTAGTACTGACATTGTAAGATGAAATAACTGGCCAATTGTTTTTTTATTACTGTTTATGTTTTACTGTCGCATAATTTTACCAACCAGCAATGAAAGAACTGCCCATTATTGTTTGCATTTGATCATAATAACTTCTCGTATATTTAAATAAGTATTTAAAAAATAGTTGCCTTGTTAAAACAATTATTTTAAAGTTAAAGGTACGGATACTCCAAACCTTGCCTTCACACAGATCAAATACCAAGAGGCCGATTTTTTTACCTTTTAAGTGCCTCAGATTTCTGTTTGTTACGTGATCATTTATTTGAACTTATAGGCCTTTTGTGCCTGAAACACGTAGTCGACTTTTTTGGTCTAATGCATGCCGATTTCCTGATGAAGTTTTTCGTCACCGAATAAACGAGTGTGAAATGCGCTCATAAACTGAAATTCAATTGGAGCACAGCCGGGGTTCGAACAAACGTCTCCAGATAGAGAACAAATATTAAATAGAATGTTCCTTGGTTCCGGTAATGTTCCGAGCTGCTTGCTTCTGTTAAATTTCAGTTTTCTTTTTTTATTAATGTATTTATTTATGTTTTCTTTTTCATATATACTGTTTATCTATGTAATCTGTTTTGGCTTTGTATGTTGTTTAAGTGTTTTATTTCATATTATGTACGTTAGCTGTAAGATTGCTAATAAATAAATAATAATAATAAAGCGCTAGTCTCTCAGTCTATTATACACTAAGTTTTTCGGACGTGAATCAAATGGATCGCGTGATCGAACTCGTTTAAACCGACCTGTTCGATGCGGCAACTTACCTCACTGTATGAGTTTTTATAGCTACGTAATAACTAGCTTTTCGCTCGAGACACCACCATAATGCCAGCTTTGCGTTTGGGTGGTTTTAGCAATGTTTTCGGTAGCTTTAGTTTCTATAAAATGAGTATTTGTTTTAGCTATTCTGTATGATCAACGAGAGTTCTTTTTTGCTTTTATTTAAGAATTTTATAGGTACTCATCAATATATGTATAATATGATGGCGGTCGGATTATAAAACTGAATGTGATACAAAAAGAATATAAACTATAGAAATTGTAATGGTTACAACTACTTGTTGTAACAAATATCAAATTGACCTTTGCTCGTAATGGACAGGATAAAATTGTTTACTTTGAGAAATTATGATAAAATGAATAAAATAATATATTTCAATTCCATATGAGATATTGAGCAGTGTTGGCCTAGTGGCTTCAGCGTGCGCCTCTATATACCTGAGGTCGTAGGTTCGATCCCCGGCTGTGCACCAATAGACTTTCTTTCTATGTGCGCATTTAAGATTTGCTCGTACGGTGAAAGTTAACATCGTGAGGAAACCGACATGTCTTAGACCCAAAAAGTCAACAGCGTGTGTCAGGCACTGGAGGCTGATCACCTACTCGCCTATTCGATTGTAAAAATGATCATGAAACAGATTCAGAATTCTGAGGCCAAGACCTAAAGAGGTTGTAGCGCCACTGATTTTTTTAATATTAGATATTGATAAGTCAAACATAAGAAGATTATATACAAATTACGAAATCTGTTCTGCTTTTATTGAGAGAAAATAAAATTTCATTATTATAATTTACGTTTTGTATCTTTCACCAATTCCAAACATAAGTTTCGAAAATGAGAAATTGCTTATATTAACAAAAGCTAAAATTGTAATGATGAAAATGTTAATAAAATTACTATTACCAAGAACCTTTAAGCTATGGAAAACAAAATAAACCAAAATACAATTGCGTCGTTATCCAGGCGGCATTTTCGTACACAAATTGAATATCTGAGTGTCTGAGTGCAATGATGTCCCAATGCTGCGATATTCTGGATACAATTGCAAAATTCAATGGAAATTGAATTTTTAGTTATACCCTATCCAACGGAATAGCAACACTATCGTATATCGCAATGCATTTGATTCTACCGTCCTATTTTGGAAATAAGACAGCAAACATAACTGTTCAATTATTGTCGCATTTCCTCTATCCAGTTCGGATTCTTCTGTGTGGAATTTGGCTGAACAACCATGATCTTCTTATATGGAGTTTCTTTTGCCACTTTTATTCGTTGTGTGTAGATAGGAAAAGTCATAAGTTGTCAAAAAAAAGGAATATTTAATAATAATAATAAATAGTTTTTTAGTAACGAAAGTGGTACAATCAGGTTGATTAATTGTAAAAAACCGCACAATCAGCCATATAAAAATAGGCATGCAAACGTCATAATAATAATAAGAACAGTTATTTAAAATTATTGTCAAAACTTATGGTCTAAATACTCTCCCACGCTATAAAGGCACTTGGCCTTTAAATATTAAATCACCTTCCCATTAAAAGCATTATACGGCAGTGTTCTATAGCTTCTAGGAGGATGATTAAATAGCCTATTTTTTAAATACATTATGGTGAAAAATGCAGGCAAAATACAGCCGTGTTGGATCACTGGGTTACAAGCAAGTTTTTATAATAAGAGTTCTGCTAATAGCTAAATTGGTACTGATTTAATTATAATAGTTATCCCATTTCAGTATATTCGATAAAGCTTTATCCATTATAATAGTTATTTGTGTAATCGCTTGTCATTAATCCATAGGATCACAACAGGTTGGTAATTGAGAATTGAGATTCAACAATGTATGGACATCTAAATAGTTTCTAAAAATACCATTATATTATATGTACGAGCCAAGACTGTACATTTTAACCACAGGCTTTTTAGTTTACTAAACGTGGCGATTTCCTAAATTGTCGGAGTTACGCCCTGAGAGTATAGCCAGACGCACTCTCTTCATCTGTTACATTGCCTTAATTCGTTTCATAGCAATTAACATTTTATTATTTCGCTTATATTATTCGCTTTGTTGTACGCGAGTGATTCATAAAGAGTAAACATAAAATCCTCTATTGTTTAAAGCACCCCGATTACCGAGGCATTGTGGAAAAAGTGAGTGCACAAAGGATTGTTCTTTCCATAACATGCTTGTACGGTAAAGGCAAACTTTGTGAGAAAACCACCATTCCTTAGACTCAGAAATCGACATGAAACAGACACAGGCTGATCGCCTATCTCTAATATAAAATCATTAAAGTAACAGATGTAATCTGGGGACCGGACCCATTTAAGAGGGCGCCACTCGGTTATTAATAGTTATTGAAACATGAACCTTAATAGACATTTCAACTAATTTTAATGAGTTTGAAAAATTGTCGTTAATTCGAAGAAATTGAACAACGTTTCAGTCACTTCTACTTCTCAATTAGGGGCAGTTCAAACTGATTGTAAGATAATATCTTTATTAAGCGATAGATTTTTTATCTCCGATCCTATGCTGGGTGTGCAAAAACCGTAGAGACAAAGACTTACCTTGCTATCACTAAATTATATAATAAACATACCAAATATTAGATTAGAGTATATATATTTTTTTAAATTTATATTTTTAGCCTATTATATGTATAAGTTAAAAATATCAAAAGCATAAATGATAACATCATCTTACAAAACATACGAGCCCGTACTTTAATAGTGTCCTTTATTACATTAATTTTAATTACACACATAGGTGACCCCATTTTTTAGAAATACCATATGTAGTTAATTTAATGAAGTACATAATCATCTAATTAGTTCAGTTGGTGGCTTAGAGTTATTTCGACTTTTTCAGAATAAATTCATATACTTTTTATTACATTCATTACATAAGTAGTAATATAAAAAGATGGCAATAACAATAGAAAATATTCATGAAATTAAGAAAAAATGTTTTAGAAGAGTTTTTGGTATGCAACAAAAATTTTACGTTAAAATCTGAAGTCGGTACTTAAAGATGATTTTATTTAGTAAAAAAAAAATCACATATAATTTTTTTTGTAAAATAAATTTCACAAAAGATAGTGCGACTTTACATAAATTACAACCTAGTCTATACAATAATTATGGCTAATAAGTAATATTATGTTGACTTAAGATTCTACAATACTAGTGAATTTCTTAAACTAAGGTTATGTTCATTAACAGTCTTAGTTTTCTATAATGTTTTGACACTATGTTCGAGTGTCTAAGACCGCACTTGCACTTATATCCACCACACTAGGTTTATTAAGTCAAAAGGTTTAGTTCTCTGTAGGCTTCTTGTTATTGTTGTATAGTTGGTTTTAAATGAAATCACTTGTATACTACGCCTTTACTTGTTATATATCTGGTGAAGAATAGTTTAATTTTCATAGCAACTGATGTATCGAGACTGTATTTTTACATTATACGTATATTAAAAATTGTATAGCAAATTATCAATCGATTCAATTCGTCAAAAAATGGTGCGTAAGAAAAAGTGCGGGTTGTGTTATTTGATATAATTCGGAAATAGTTTCTTACATTTAGTTGAGGGTATGAAATTTGCGTATAGATTTGACAGGGTCGACCGCCATTTTGGTATTATTACTGGCGTGCTTGGGACGCATTTACTTTAAATTAAAGTAAATACTTACTTAAGTTAAGTTATATAAAGTTAATTTGCACTTTTATTACCATAATTTCTTTAAATGTTGTATTATTTAGTCAGTGCTTGTGTTGTGTAACATGTGATGATACAAAATTATCTAGTTAATTTTTTAGTGAAACCTTTTTATGTGTAATGGCACGTTTTCATTTCTGTATGTGTTTTGTGAGTTGTAAGACAAGTTGAATCAAAGTCGTGACGTTTTGATGTAAATTTTCCATTTATTTATTTGTCTTTTTGAAGTTATACTTCTTTAGGCGCGTTATGAAAAATTTATGAGAGTGAAATTTTACAATGCGCGCGCACCCGTGACACAAAATTAGGAGTGTGATTATAGCGTGCGCGAGCGAGATAGGAATAAGACAAACTGCAAGTAAAAAGAAATAGAATATGCGTGAAGTTCGTATGCCAACAATTTTGAATGACCATAATGACATTTGTCATTTACCTTTTAAACAAATAAAGGAGTTTTAATTATTTTTTCAAATAAATTTAGCGATGCTTTTTGAATTATAATCAGAAGTGATTTAAATTGAATATTTAAACCAATACTAATTAATATTTGTGAAAAAACTGTGCTCATCAACCTTCCTAAGTGCTTCAATACAATTGAGGTTAACTATCCGTATGTATTATTATTATTATCGAGTAATGTTTTGATTAAAAAATTAACCACATTGTTTAATCAAAACATGTAATTTTTCTGATTTTATCTAGCAAATATAAGGAAAAGAGACAAAAAACAATTGATGAATCAGTGTAACTGCACTAAATTGAATACAAAAAAAGAGTTTTCATCTTATCGCTGTGAAACATCAAAAACTGGAGGTGGAACAAAGCCAAACTATTTTTAATATTGCCAAAGAAGTATAACTTCTTACGCGCGTACATAAGTACACGGACCCTTTTTTTTTATTTACAGCGTAAATACAATTTGACAGAAAGAGATGAAATGATAAAAGTTGACTGCAATTTGATTAAATTTTTATGAACGGGTTGTTGTTTAAGGAACTTTTATGGAAATGTGTAAGCTATAATGTTATACAGTTTATGCACAAATAATAGAGTTAGTATTGGGTTGGGTTTTAAATGTCATCGCACGAATGGTAACGGTGCGATAACGATGCACCCGAATCTGATGATACTGATTATGCAGGAGTCTTAGGGAACCTTCATTGAAACACCTCCAAGTGATTTTAGCTGCCGGAAATGCGTCAAAGTATTTTAAATAAAATTAAAGTTTTGTGAAATGTATTGAGATTTGTAAACAATCCACCATTATCTACTTTTCTATTGGTTATAAGAATTAAGAGATGTGACATTCTCGTTTTCTATTGGTTATAAGTGAGTTGACATTTTCGGTAAATTAATCGGATCGATTATTTTCTCATTTGTTATTTTTAAAGTTGAACCTAATCGAATCGATTATTTCCTCATTTGTTAATTTTAAAGTTGAACCTAATTTAACCATTACTTGTCAAATGTACATACATTCCATTAACTTCATGTTTCAATTAGTGTATTGTTCCGAAATTTTCCGCCATTTTCTACTTTTCTATTGGTTATAAGAGATGTGACGTTCACTTTAAAAAATCGTGTTTTTAATTTATCGATTGTTAATAAACGTTTTTTAAGTAACGGATTTCTAACGGATATTCTGCACTGTAAGACTGTTAAAATAAAAAAATAAAATAAATTCTTCAAATAAAATAAAATAAATAATTTCACACACTGTTCTAGCAAAATCCACATTCGAAATGGCCGTTTGCGTTTATAAAATTAATAGGGATGTGAAAAATAATCGATTTCTTTAAAAGTGAAAATTGATTTTTGTAAAAACTCTTCTACTGTAAAACTAACACATACAATAACTCGTTATAAAATATCATAAAACCCTTTTTCGTCACCTGTCTTCTGCGTTTAATTAAATTGCATAATGAATAAATGTACTAAAAGGGATTCTGTTTTTTCCTTCCTGATTTTATTAAAAACGTTAGAAAAGTGTCTTAAAGTATAAGACTTTTCTGACATAATAATTTTATACCAACGCTGCCTTGAATTAATTTTTTATGCAAATGAATTCGTCTCAGTGGCATCGTCCCTAAACCCAAAATGGATTGAACTAATTTTCTTATTAAGGCATTTTAATTTAAAAATCATTAAAAATTTATTTACTACCTTATTTGGTATTAATTTGATGGCCTTGTGCATATCGTTGATTTTCTAGTCTATGATTTATGCCAGTTTCCTTACAATGTTTTCGTTTACCGTACAAGTGCTATTTATATCCATAGAAAAATTATCGCCTACGTGACAGTTGCTTAATTTTTCCTTTCACTCTTGAAAGTTGCCGCGATTTATAAATTATGACCTAGTAATTCAGCTGTATCACATTCGTAATATATTAAATCATTAATAACTGTAGTAACTTAAATTTAGATAAACCCAAAACTATTATTATTAATTTTATTTTTTCGTTTCAGTGTCGACTGTGGATGTGGATGCTGTTCTCGGTCGCACAGCGTCTTTACCATGTGACGTCACACCGGATGCTACAGAAGATCGCGTATACATGGTTTTGTGGTTTAGAAAGAGTGGCGGAAAACCAATATATAGGTATTATTTGTCTTATATGGCTATCAATAGTATTTGTGTAATGTACTTATTAACGTGAAACAATTGTCTCCGCGAATCGACACCAGGACCTCGGGGTTTCACGCCGTATGGGCTTGCAATTAAAAACAAATGCAAACTATTCTAATGCACCTTACAATAAAACACCTCTGATGAGAAATAATAGCGTTACTGTGTTTAGGTGAAAAATATCCCATTTAATTATTATCGCAAAAGTACACAGTCAACCATTGAATACAACTTTTACATACAAATTCAACATCTCGGAAATAAAATACTAATGAATGGATGCGTAATTAATAATATTACCGGCTAATGAACCTTTCGAACACCTAAGTGGATGAAAGGAAGCCGAATAGAGTCGATCCAATTAGCATTAAGAAAATAACAAGGAAACACACTCAAGATGTTTTACAATGCTTGTAAATTACAGTCGTCGTACGGACTTCCTTTCTTTATTAGGCGTTCTGTCCTTTAGTAGAGCGAGCGGCTTACTCAATCGTAAACAGAAAATTAGCTCCAGAAAGCTCTTAGGAGATCTATTATCCATTGTCCTGTGAAATTCAAATTCTGTGGGGAATTGTGCACGGGCATAATGAGATTCTAAATATAAATCTGACATATATATGATGAATTAACTTAAATGTGTTGCTGAAATATGTATTTTAAGAAACAACATTTACAGTTTGTTATTTTAATTGTAAACAATCACTTTTTCCTATTTCTTTTATAATAGAACATTTTGTCAGTCATCATTTGTGAACATCAGTTAACACAAAGAATCTTATCTAACAAATATAATTATTTCTTAACATATATATAAGTCTCATTTTACTAGCATATTAAAACTTCTATTGTAGATTAGAAAATAGTAGGGAAAATGCCATATATATTAAAATCTACCTACTCAAAACGATTTATACTCCTACTTCCTACCCCCTACATTTTTTTTACTAACTGCACCCAATATGGTTATCGGTACCTTCAATAACACCTATGCAATCAATTATTTAGGCCAAACTAAATGACCATAACGTCACTGTAGAACCTCGAAGAAATGGTCAAAAAACCATTTCTTTTTTATTCTTAGACTCTTATGTCATTTAACTGGTATAATCATGAAGTAAGGACCTATTTATGTTATTAATAAGTAAGTCTATCATTTTATCATTACAACTATGGACAAAAACACATTATAATATTTATTTAAAATGATTTTTTTTCGTTTCCTGTAATGTTTGGTTCTCTGGACATACGACGTTATCATTCTACAGCGATGATAAAATGGTTCATAGTGAGTGATCCTTATAGATAGATCTGTCATGAAGAAGAGAAATCCCAACGTATGATTTTTGCGTAACTTTGACAGTTTATGCAATGTAGAACATAAGCCCTCAATATGATTTTTCGAGGGCCCCGCAGATATTGCCTGTAAGAATTTATCATTGAAAATACTGATGTTTTTATATAGGGACGGCGTAAAGGATTGAGAATAATTATAGTTTAGTTATCACGTCGTACAGAAAGTTTAACAATTAACCGTTAAACTTTCTGTATAGGCAATACAATTTACAATTAAAATAGATAACACAAAGAAAGAATCTCAAAATACTTATAAATAACTCTTTGTTTAAAAATATCGTTGGATATTAACGAGGCCAATATGTCAACGACGTTCTTAACGAGCTTTTTTATTGTTCTGTCACTAATTATTGAAGTCATTAAGAAGATACAAGCTTTTAATTATTATATTTTTATATTGACGTATACTATACCTATAACTGTAATCAGAATATAATTTAGTGATATTTAGTTTGTTCGGACTAATACCTGCAGCTGAGTTTCATCATCGGACGTCAAGGCATAATACAAAATACCATTCGTATCACCTTGACGTACGTCGTTCCACAACTGAGCGTTTTTTAAGGAAATTTCTGCCACGCAACACAACTATGTGGTACCAGCTGCCCACTGAAGTATTTCCGAACCAATTCGACTTAGGGTCCTTCAATAAAAGAGCGTACCACTTCTTAAAGTCTTAATGTCCTCTGGCAGTGCGACTGTCCATGGATGGCGGTATCACTTAACATCAGATGAGCCTCTAGTCCCTTGCCTCTTGTAACATAAAAACAAAAAAAACAGGTGTCATTGTATACTTACGTCAATTAAAATATGTTTATTACCAGATCATAAGAGCGTGGAACGTAGAAGACACTCTCGCCACAAGATACCTGATTTTGTGATAAATATCTATAGCTACTAACTAAGATTCCAATAATTTAGCTCACGACAGCTTAGACATTATTGTGAGAATGTATACGAGAATTATATTTAAGGCAAAATTCCCGATACCTACGTGTTTTGGAAAGTTTATTGTTTATTAGTGTAAATTTGATAAAAATCTTGATCGATTGCGATACTGATATTGTCCTCGTTTCAATAATATGTAACATTGTTTGCAACATTTTCTTTGATACAGTTAAAATAAGTGATTTTCTCTTGAGTTGGTGTGGGTCAAAAGGGCCATATAACATTTAAAAAAATAACAAACACACCACAATTTCAGAAAACAGAAAACAATTAAACGGTATCTATTACAGCTTTTATTGCTATGATGATTATTACATATATATATATCAACTTATTAGAAGTATATTTTATGTAGATAGATAGTAGATTTAATCTTATATATGATCGACTCAATAAAGTTGTATTCCACAAAATATTGTATACCTTTAAAACGAAATTATTATTATTACTTAAATCCTGTAAAAAAGCCCACTGCCTATATAAATTAGGTTAAGGTTAGAAAATTGAGAAAACGTACTGTCCGGAAATTGGAAATCTTCATCGCGTCCTTTATCTTAGCATTTGACAGGTATTTTTCTCTGTCCCAAAATAAATTAAGGGAAACTGTGTCCACGTTTAATCGTATATGTAACACAATTTTACTGTACGTATATATTTATAAACAGTCCAAAAAATAACTAAAAATGTCTTTATAAATGTACATTTTAAATTATAATATGATATAAATTAAAATGAAATTTTTTCGACTACAGACAATTATATTTGTTTTTTTTGAAGTAATACTTATTTTGGCGCGTTAGGGAAAAATTATGAGAGTAAATTTTTACGATGCGCGGGTATACCGTCACAAAAAACCGACACCCTGAAGTTAGCTATAGTCAACATTTTAGTTTTTTCTATTGTTAGTGACGTTTTTTCTACAAACGTAGAATAAGGTGAAAGATAACATTTTTGAAAAGATTTCAATCTTGTGACGCCAAAGAAGTATAACTATGTTAGTTATACTTCTACACACACGTTTTTAAATATTATATAGTTTAAATCATCAGCGATGCAGTAAATTACGCCTTAAGATTCTAAAATCAACTCAGATAAATCAATCATCAATCATGATTAATTTGATAGCGTAGCACCCAATCGGATATTTTGTCGTGTCTATAGGTAATTGAACCTTGCGTAAATCAAACAAGCAATTCGTAGCGAAACGGCTGCGAAATCGTAGCTTCGTAGAGTCAATTAAAATCGCACTAAATTAGTATTAATGATCTTATTACTATTATTAACAGTTTCGACGTACGTGGAAGATCCTTCAATAAAGCACTGCAGTGGTCAGACCCTGGAGCCTTCGGTCCTCGAGCGTACTTCGCGACCGTGGCACGGCCTGCTTCTTTGACACTTAGCTCTGTGCAATTGGATGATGAAGGCATCTACAGATGCAGAGTTGACTTCAAGAATTCCCCTACTAGAAACTTCCAAATACGGCTCACTGTTATTGGTAATTTCACATCTTATCTAATTTAAAATAGATTAAAAGTTAAAACTATATACATAAAGCTCACTGAATCAAAATTTAAAAGTAAAAATCATTTATTCATGTAAGTAAGACAATGTACACTTATAAACGTCAAAAAAGAAAGAATTGCGGCAAGTTTAATACTCAATTAAAAAGAGTGGCGGAGAGTTTATTAGCAGTTCTTCTCATCCGTTCTACGCCCTTGATTTGAGAACTGGCAGTAAATGTATAATTAGAAGCATTTAATATGTATTTCTTTATTGATGATATCATAAGTGTACATTGTGTTATCTAAATGAATAAATCATTTTGAATTTGCATTCGAGTCAGTAATGCAACGTGTCATTCAATAGCTATAACAGTCCCAACATTTTTAACTACAATTTCAATATAATTATCTCAATATCTGTAGCCCTAATGTCATCACCAAAGCTCACCATCGAAATTGGGATCTGGCTGGGACTGGGTTGGGACTGACAACACTGGGGCACAGTATTTTACAAATATGATATATTATACAAGTTTGGCTTTGCAAGGATTTATTGATATTTGTTAATCACTTCATACAGATGCAGAATAACTACACTAATACTATAAAGAGGAATAATTTAATTGTTTCAGTTTCTATTAAATAGGCTTCAAAACTACTTGACCCATTACAAAACTGATTTCACTATTTGAATGCTAAATTATTCCTGACTAACATTGACTATAAAATAGTTATAAAATCAAAGGGATCAGCATGAAAGGTCCGATAATTAAAACCAAGGTGTAAAAAATACTAATAAAAATATGCACTATTGACATAGTGCATAGTGTTGTACTACTACTCTTAGACACCTTCACGTAGATACCCTCATTTTTACACCATCACACAGTACAGCCATATTAGTTATTAATTAATTGCATTGAATATTTTTGTTAACTCCCCTTTCTTAAATGTTTGAACCTTTTTGTAAATATTATGTATTCCATCTTTGGCTATATTTTTAGTGTAATTGTTTGTTATTATATAAAATTTTTGTTAGCTGTAAGATTGAGAAATAAATAAATAAATTTCCAGCCATGCGAGGCCAGGACTGATAGATACTGATTTATAATTTAGCGCACGCTAATGATGACTTTGCTTAAAATTTATTTTTATTTAATCACCATGACACATTGTTTTTAATCGATACGCTGATTAAGATAAGAATAAATTTAATATTTACGAAGTAACATTATAAACCTTCAGTATAATATACTCTGTGACAAGAGATGTTTTAATTACAATCTGTCATCTGGGATCCGTAGGTCACAGACGACGTTGATAGGAGCAATCCCGAACGATGACGTGAAACAAATCTGTGGGAGACAAGTCGAATTTGAAAGGAAATTAGATCTCGATTGATAAAAGTGCTTTTCGCTTATCTCGAAAGCCTATCTTTTTTAAAATTAATTTCGTTATCACGACCCAATTTGTCAGCTTAGGTAGAAAAGTTTGAAAATAACTGTAAAAAAGCTTTTGTAAAGAAATTTTAAGTAAACATGAATTTAAATTGAAAAAGATTACATTTATAAGCGGATTAATGAGGAAACTTCGTTATTTATAAATAGCAAAAGAACTTTAAAGTCTATACTGACATAACACATGGTAGATGTTTGAGTCACTATCAATTTCATTAACTGCCATATTACATACAAAGAAACATTATTTATTATTTTTATATTAATTTAATGTATCTAAGAAAAAATATAAGAATGAAATACAGATTAAATGTTTGAAAATAAATTATATTCTAAATCTAAATAATGATTATATATAAATATTATTACTTAAATTATTTTAATTCCCCATTTATCATGGTATTTGCAGAACCTATATGAAATTAACTGAATATTTATCCTGAGATAAGCTCACTTCACATCTTAAATGAATTTATTATAATAAAAGAACTTCCTCGGAACTAATTTAATTCCGCATGAATATTTCAAAATATAAATAGATGAAAACTGAAAAACGGCGAGTTAACTGAGGTAGATCTTTGAAAAGAATTGGCCCATTCAAGACGGGGCCCAGAGAAAAGGAGATGGGGAAGTAAATTTCTTTTTAAGAACAAAGAATTTAAAGCCTACTTTTCATATATGCAACTCCATTGAAACCCATTAAGCTCCCGCTGCGAGGTAATTTGCAAGAATTCTTTTGTTAGTGAGGGAAAGCCCTTTATAAAGTCGGTAATCAGGTATGTTCATAACGTTAGAAATCTAATTTTACAGTGAAATTTATTTCAGAGCCTTTATTAATTGGCTCAAATAAAATTAAGACGGATATTTACGATAAGGGTTTGGAATAATATTAAAAGAAAATTAAGCCATCATTATTTGATAGCTCCATTTTCTTAAGTTATGTAAGAAATTACTAGCAGTTACAATCATTTATGATCATATTATCACATTATATGAGTAAATTTAAACAATTATTCATTATACAATCATCATACTTTCGATTGAAAAATGTAAATTATGAAGCGTGTTTAATATGAAAAATATGATTTTATTCACAAAATGATAAAAATCAAGATTACTTCGTATCTGATTCGTATAAATTTTTTGATAGACAAGTAAGTGATCAGCCTTATGTGCCTGACCCACGCCGTCGAAATTTCGGGTCTAAGGCGACATGCCTTTCTTCACGATGTCATCCTTCACCGTACGGGCGAGTGTTAAATATACATATAGAAAGAAAATTTAATTGGTGCACAGCCAGGCTTCGACCTCAAGCCACTAGGCAAACATTGCGGTTTATGACATTTTCCTTTGAATAATTGTAATGTAGAGGGAGGGTAAAACTTGCTGAGTTTCTTGCCCGTTCTTCTCAGAACAAGGCCTCCTGGTAGTTTTGCGAACGGATGGCGTAGTCTTGCTCTTTCGTGAATTTTGTAAACGTTGTTGACATTCATAAGCATGCTCTAAGAAGCATCTAAATTGAATAAACGTATTTTGATTTTGATTTTGCTCACAAAATGACAAATTACTTTTTTGCAAAACTGAATTACAACTTTATTTTTTGTTGTATTGCGTTCCGTAAATTCTGTAAATTTCTAAAAATAATTATTTTTCAGTGCCACCACATCAGATGTTACTTTACGATAAGTCAGGTGCCGACGTATCCGGCATTGTTGGACCGCTGGAGGAAGGATCAGCTCTTGTATTGGTTTGCGAAGTACGCGGAGGTAAGAAAATTTCTCCCCTATTCTATATAGTACAAAACAATTTTCTAAAAGTAAGAAAAAAATTCCGTCAGTTTTCTGTATTTACCGTTTATGGTCCTTTATTTTTATCACACCAGAGTATATAATAATTGCTTATAAATAATACTAAATTTTCATTCCAAATTTATTTATATACATATATATATATGTGTTTATGCGAACGATTATGATGCATATGAATCTCAAGCCGGCGGTTTCAACAAACCAAATTCTGATACATTTCTCCTTTCAATACCTGAATCGATATAGGTCACATACATACATACTCTTTAAAAAAAATCTTAGATTAAATAGATGCATAAACGGCCCCATGCATGATAAAATAATGTCACATACAATAATATCTGATATTTACAAATATATAATCTCTTAAAAGAATATTATATATTCACTCCGTTTTATTGTTTTCTTGAAGTGATCTTACAATATCTATCCGTCACTTTTTAGAAAATGGGTAATATGATACAGTGATGAAGTGCTTTATGTTTTTGACAAATTCAATATCAACATTTCCAGTTGCCATTTATACAATAAATCGTGTAGATTGGCCCATACATACACATTGAATTCAACTGCTGTGAATCGTATTGGCATTGGTAACGATTAGATCATCAATCACAGTTTTCATTTCACAACGAATGCGGTGCAAACGTATTCCATAATAGTTATTGGACCATGCTATTTTAACACTTACCTGATTACAATAAGAGCTAAATTTCTATAACTTTAATTTGTTATTCTAAGGACATAAAATTAGTAAACAATTGCCTGTAGTGATTACACTGTTTCAATCAAATAAACATGCCATTTCCAATGTTCGAACGATTTCAATGAAGCATCTAATTGTATTGATCGCAAATATGTCAGTGCATTACAATACAAATTCGCTTGAATTTAGAATTTAACTTATTAAATTCAAGTATAAGCTTCAACGAAATAAAATAACTAAGTAGGGAATGCAATCTCAACTCGATATCGTTAATTCGAGATCTCTTGGGATAAAGAATTACAATCTCGCGAGATCTCGGTTCGAGATCTCGGGTAGTTTACGAAAACCAATTGTTTAAATTGACAAACTAAAACACGATGAGAAATGCTAAGATGTGGCTTTAAGATAAAACAAGAAAACTATTTATTATAACTGTTGCCATTATTAATAACTAATATCACGAAACATATTCATTCGTTATTTTAATATAAGCTTTCGTAGTGGTGAACAGTTATTTCCAGAATAGTTCTATTTACCTATAATAGTATAAACAATCACTATTCTACACAATATCTAATTATTTATGAGAGATTTTGTAACTAACTTTATAAGAAACAAAAGCTATCGAGAGTGTTGTCTGATAAGCAGCATCTTTTGTCAGTCGCTGTACCCAGCAGCTGAAAATGCCCTCTCTACACCAGCGTCAGTTATTATAAACAAAAAATTGTAAGCTGACTTTTAGCTGCTCTCAGACTCTCTTTTAATTTCTATTCTTCAATATTCTACTCTTCAGTCGTGATGGTTCATCATCAGTCAATTTTAAAATATACGCCGCAGTTGCATTAATTCGAGGCGCCGTCAGATACGCTTGTTCATCGAAGAGATTAACTTTTCTAATACTACTGCCACTTAATCTCGCTATTCCAACGAGATCTCGTCATGTTATGCTTCGGGATCGATCTCGAAAAAAAGCACGAGATCCCGATCCTGAGAGATTGCTTTCCCTATCTAAGTGTATTCAATTGTATGGTATTTCTTTTCGGATTTTTTTAGCGATGATAGGTAAGAGTGGGATCGATAACAGATGCGATTCACAATCGTATTGAACAAAATGAATGACCTTTACAAAATAACGCCAGTTCTCACTTCAATATAATTTACGAACATAGTCCAAAAAACATGAACCCGGGCTGAGTTCCTTGGTGCATTCTTCTCAGGCCAAGTGCACATGTTTATAAAATTATCAGCCTGAAATTTGAAAAAGAGCATTTATAAAGACGTTCAGTATACGCCTGAAGCCAAGCTCAGCCTCAACCTCTGAGCCCAAAGGTAGTTTCGTGACCCGATTGTTTACAAATGTATTTATAATATTAATAAGTACTTATTAGAAGTATTTGAACAAATCAAAAGATAATGTCGTAAGAATACCAGCTCACCGAATACCTAAATCGACTCACAGACGCGATATGTGGCAAATTAGGCTCGTCATCTACTTGCATATATAAGTAAATGCAGATATAGGGTAAACAGATGCTTTTGAAACAGTTCAGAAAATTCGTGAAAATAAAGTCTTAAAGGAGAATCCTTTAATCTATTCGTTTTCAGGAACGTATTACAATATCGGATAGCTTCCTAAAACAATTTTACTCAAGCTTCTGAACATGGAGTGAGGGCTGGCGTTTTAAATTTCAATAGGCAACGCTCCGCTGCATCTGGCGCATCACAATGTGAACTAACTGAAATTAGGATCTTCGATTTTTCTACTACTTTGTAACACCGATGAAATGATATTTTCGTATCGAAAAGATAGTGTCAAAGATAACTAACTAATTTATTACCTGTTTTGAATAGTTTTTATATATATTATTTATAGACGGTGTTTTTAAAAAAGTTGGTATTTTGAATTTTTCACCTAAATTTTGAGGTTATATGAAAAAATTGTTAATACAAAAGTTGTAGATCTTTTTATTACCTACAACTTTGCCATTTAACTTTTTTCCATAGGACTTATAATTTTGCCGGAAATCAAGATAAACCATTTTTTACCCTTAAAAACTCACCCCCTCCCACTTCCCGAACTCGGATCGACCGTCATTTATTTTTCCTTTCAATTAGATCATAATCCCCTCCTTTTCTAATGGGTTTCATCCTACTGTAATTTTTTTTGGTTTCAAAAATTATCGACCCTGGTCTATTTAGGCTGTGATACGAATAGCAAACGACACCTTACTAGTATTATTTCTATGATTTCCATAGTTATTTTCATTAATGCACGGACCAATTAAACTTGTATATGTCATAAATAATTGAGATATAATAAGGATAATATGTTATTTATATATATAGTTTACCCTAGGGTTGAGACTGAGACATTTTTAAGTTTTTTTAAGTCTGTTCTGAAATAGTTCCTTTGTAAAGTCTCCATACGTATTCATTGCCATCACTTGTGTCTGCCACCCTTTGATTTACGTCGTATTTGCGGAGGACCCAATGGAGTCTTTATAGAAACATTTGGAGAGATATTCCATTCCAATGAGTTCATTGAAAAGTCCGCAGTATGGCAGGCTGGCGAAGCGCCAGGTCTGCACCGCACAGATTATCTTTGCCCGTGTGCCTACCGATTGTAATGATGCAGTGGGCCAAACATACACTCTATAAAATTTCCTGCGATATCGCCATTGTTTAAATTCAAGCTTTATTTTTGGATTTCAGACGTCTACCAATTTTTTTTATCTATTTGTTATTCATGTAATTTAAAAATGTTATACTATTATCTGCAATATTTTGGTAATGTATTCGTACTAAGTCTTACATTAAGATTCCAACTTTTGCTAGTAATGATTTTAAAACGTTTACAAAAAATCCAATGGGAAACAACAAATTTGTCTAAGGTTATAAATAGAAAATAATAATAGAGTCTAAATTTTTATTTTTTATTGTTAACGAACACCAGCTATTGGTACAGCTGTTTATACCCTGTGGTTTATAATAACTTGGTCGCAGCGTGATGTTACGCTTCCCTAGCCTTCGACAAAACACGCAACTTTCAATTTCAACGCAATAAATATTCAAACAATAAAATCAAATTCTGCATTAATTTTTGTAATAACACTTTGATGTTTAAATTCTATATTTAAATTTAATTACTTAAATTCAAATGCCATAATATTCAACAGGTCGACCCGAGCCCGTAGTTACGTGGCTGGTAAATGGCAAGCCAGATCTTAAATACATCGGAGTGAAGACAGACACACACGTCATAGTTAACCGGTTGGAAGCCCAACAACTAACTAGGGACAGTCTCAATACGACCTACAAGTGTCGAGCTACGAACACTCAACTTGTACCGCCGCAAGAAAAGTCAGTGCGGTTAGAAATGAACTGTAAGTTTGAACTGCCTAATTAAGTAATGCTTGACACAAGTAGACAAAGCTTATTTTATTCCAGCAAGCTTTTCCAATTTGTCTGATGAAATAAATCTTTAATTTCGCCTGTAAGCTCACCACGTAACTTTGATTGCGATTGCTATATTGTTTATGATTCTACGTCCTTTAGTTTGTAATGTGTTTGAAACAAGATAGTTTTGGAATGTAAAGGGAAGGTAATATTGTTTCTTACATATTTAAAGTTTTTTAAACTTTATGATATTTTAATTTCTTCCTGTCATTGTTATTATTTTTTACCATATTACATGTACAATAGAAGTAAGGTATATTATTTTGTATACAAAATGCCTTGTCGTCAAGAAATAGGCAGTAATGAATTTCATGCAAGAAGAAAAACAGTGAACAGTAAATGAAGGAAAAAATTGGGTCTACCGTAGCACAGCTAATTTTTATTTGGGCCAGGGAATAAATTATATTAATGAGATTACTGAAATTAATCATATCGGTTTATAACATCAAATTATTCGAGAAATATTTAATTCTTTTATACTTCGGAAGGATTCCTTAGGAAATTGTTAAGATCTTAATTTTTTTCAGTGGCTCCTCTATCTGTGTCTCTACTGAATCGGCCACAGCAGCTGCTGGCTGGTTCAGCAGTTACACTTCAGTGTGTCTCAGAAGGAAGTAGACCACCAGCTCTTATCACATGGTACAAGGATAACAGAATTTTTGAGAAAGAGAGGGTGAGAGAGTATTATGCTTCTACTATTCTTACTTTCTTTTATAATTACGCTACACACGTGTAAAGTCATTATACGTTATTTTACATCTGTAAGACCGTGTTACAGAAACTAAACAGATTTTTACTCGAACTGACTTCACTTCGACACGAACACCTGAAAGTTGGTGTTGAAGTTTTATTTTGCTATTTTTTTCATAGATTGTTGAACGAGCTAACGAAACGTGGTCAGTTAGTTCCTTGGTCTTCCATCCGGCGCCTAGTGACAATGGAGTCACGGTAAAATGTGTAGCTACGAACCTGAGACTTCCTGCAAAGGCAATTGACGATCAATTTGAATTAAACGTTGTATGTAAGTACAAATAAAGTGAAATTTTGTTAATGGTAGTTAGAACTTCTTCTTCTTCATTGAGCAGTGTTGGCCTAGTGGCTTCAGTGTGCCACTCTCATCCCCGAGATCGTAGGTACGAGCCCCGGCTGTGCACCAATGGACTTTCTTTCTATGTGCGCATTTAACATTCGCTCGAACGGTGAAGGAAAACATCGTGAGGAAACCGACATGTCTTAGACCCAAAAAGTCGACGGCGTGTGTCAGGCACAGGAGGCTGATAACCTATTTGCCAATTAGATTGAAAAATAGTTTGTTATTATTTATTTAATATTTGATTACCCACATAATAAATCATATTCAGAATTTATAAGATCATAAATTTCAATGGCCACCTAAGAAAACATTTTAAGAACTTAAAAACTACGTGTGAGACCTGTTATAATCACTCCATCATCTTCCAGATAGTCCCTTGGTGACGTTGACTTTGGGCAGCACTCTGAACCCTCATGATATAAAGGAGGAAGATGATGTCTACTTCGAATGTAACGTTCGAGCCAATCCAAAGGAATATAAGATATCTTGGTACCATAATGCAAGTATCTCTTTTAACAATTAAGGAATAGAAGTCCTAAAACTATTTTTCAAGTTATACTTGGCGCGTTCGGGAAAAATGATGAAAGTAAATTTTTACGATGCGCGCGCACACCGTCACAAAAACCGACACCATAGCATATGAAGTAGAAATATTTTTTTGTGATATTTAAATAAATTTTATTTAACTAGATAATCCGTTATAATAAAACTTTCAATGTATTAAATACCTTTATTCTATTGTTAGTGTAGTTTTTTCGTTAAGGCGAAAGATAAAAAAATTAAAAAGATTTTTATCTTGTTACGCCAAAGTATAACTTCTAACGCGTGAACATAAGTAACATGGTTTTTTTAAAATAATGTAATAGAAAAAAATATTGAAATTGCTGCAAAATATATGTGAGTTTGTGTGTTATGGTTCTAACTGGCCCTGACTCAGCATTACGCTGTGGATCAGACGTGTTCCACAGCGCTGGTCATTCTGCCAGAGACCACAACAGTAAGTTTTTTCTTAACAACGTTTATACTCAAAGTAAATATTGCAGGGCAGCCCCGTAATACAGAATATGAGGTCTGGTATTATTCTCAGTAGTCGATCGCTAGTCTTACAAAGGCTGACTCGACAAGAGGCAGGACTGTACTCATGCAAGGCGACCAATGCAAGGGGCGAAACATCCAGCGAGGCAGTTCGACTAAGGGTGCAATGTAAGTGACGTGCGATTAATACTAAATAACACTAACATTTTAATTAAAACGAGCTAGGTTGCTTTTTTCACACTCGATTTTCGTTTAGCTTTTGTAACTTTAATTGTTTTGTTTAATATTTGTATTATATCTTCGTGTATGTCAAGTTTGCCAATAAGTGCTTATTAGAAATATTAGAAATTGTATATTGTGGTTCTTTTACTAATGTATTAAGTAAAAAAAATCAAATATTTTAAGAGATATAGTCCAGCCCTGTGATTCTGTAACTCACTTTTCGAACTCACACAGCGGTTTTCGCATCGGCGGTTGCTCTGAAATCAGTCGTGTTGCAGTCATTTTATGATTTGGCATTCTGATAAACAATAAACTACAAGCTCCCACCTTTTCAGAATGCCAAATCATAAAATGACTGCAACCACTGTGTAAGTTCGAAAAGTGAGTTACAGAATCGCAGGGCTGACTTATTGGTCTCAAGTTCATTCTCTTGTTCACACCTATCACACTTGGATAAGGCGACGTTAATATATTGTCTTGGCTACGGACACGAAGTAACAATCTAAGAGGAAAAATTATGCTTCAGATTACTTTAAAGGCAGGCAACGAACTCCCGAGCCCTCTGGCATTGAGAGTGTGTGTGGCAGTATCACTTAACATCAGGTGAGCCTCCTGTCTGTTTGCCCACTGTTCTATAACAAAAAAGTTGTAGGAGAAATAATAATACCAATAAATAATACAGTTTTGCATCTTTAGGCTTCTTATCTGATTTAGATTTTACCTATCTATTCAATCTGGCGGCACAAACACGAATAACAAAATAGATAAAAAACGGAATTAATGCTTTTGATGATATTATAACTTGTAATCTTATACCTACCATGTGTAATTAAAAGATAAGTTATTAATCATAATAAATACGTGAAAGAAAGGAAAAGTAAAATTCAAAATTGAATAAAATTTTAATTAGTATTTTAATTTTTATAAAACCAATTTTATAGCATTATTAAAAAGATCAGTGATTTTTTTTTGCTTACACAATAGTTTATACAGGGATCATTAAAAATGTGTGAGTAATATCCGTCTCTTTAACTTTAAAAAAACGAAATATCAGATTGAATTATGTTTTTTTTTATAAATTGTCCCTGCACAAAGATACAATATAACATTACGATCTAGCCTAACTTGAGACTTAACCTAAGTTATTAAAAAAAATTTAACATGAGAAAGTGTCCAATAACACTACTTACAGCATCTATTAAGGGGAAGATACTCTGTTCTTATGTTAAATTTTTCCACTTACCACTAACTTTTACTCACACTATTTCACCAATCGGAATTGTTGTGCTCTTTTCAATCTCCTCACTATTTGCGATAATTCCAATCGTATGATATCCATGTTTAAATTATTAAAGTAAATCCTGAAAGTGAAACCATAAAGGGACCAACAATTGCGACGTATAAATAAAGTTTACTTGGTTGTTTCGGTGGCTATTTATCAAAGGTCCATAATTTGAGTTACTGCTGTTAAATGTATGCCTTGGCTTATTTACATAACCTCACATCGGATACAACATAACAATAAAATGTCACTAGGTATGAATTACGGAGTAATAAATACTTGTCTGCGTGTATATATTCAAATGATTGCGGTTGGATCGACGAGTCGTTTCCTTCCTCCAGCAATTACGCCAGAGGAAGCTTGCTTCCAGTAAATCATCAAAATTATTGCCTAATATTAGGGCAATTGTCCGGGAACTAGCAATCTGTTGTTTTGCGGGTACACTTTAATTCATAAAGCTTTGTTTTAGTTCGCCCGACCGGAATAAATTTCCTTTCAAATCCCGTTTTGTGTCATGTTGCGGGTGCAGGTAATGTGCGTTTAATGTTCTTGTGTGGGTTTCAGCGCTAAATGGATATTAAATACGTACACGTGAATAAAAATATACCTCAGTATTCAACACAATACAATTCAGCAACAGCTCGCGCATTAATACGCCTCAATTCAATTTACACTTAATACTTATCATTGTTCGTTTGGTTAATACATAGGCATTCAGTTAAGTATAAATATACTAGCAGACTCGGCCAAGCGTTGCTGTGGCTAAGGATTTTGTTATATTACATATTATTAAACTATTCAAGGGTAGGAGAAAACCAGCCATGGGGACCACCATGGTTTTTTGATGGTTATGCCATTTGATTGGAGCTTATGTGAAACGTTGGTACTTTCAACACAGCGCCATCTGTTCGAATTGTGACTGTCAAATAATAAACAAATAATATGCAATAAAATAATATTGCAGGTATAAATTAAGATGTAAACTATTCTATCTAACTGCACACGGTGCGCAAATTTCATTGAAATCGGTTAAGTAGTTAACCGTTTAGGGGACAAACAACGTGACGCGTAATATATAATATTAAGCTACGAGTATGTATATTTGAGAGCGTGATAATGAAGTCCAACTAATAACTTTTTTACTTAAATCACTGTTCATGGCAAACACAATTCAACAAAAACGACGCAAGCATTCATAAGTTACGTGATGTGCTAGATTTAGTTTTTATTATTAAGACCATTAAAAGCCTACGCATTGACAATCTTTAAATTCGTAGATTTTTGAAAAGGTCTTTTATCTTTCTTCTTTATCATAGCTAATAGTATGTTTGTCGTTGTCTGAGCTTATAAATTTTGTGCTGTCATGTTTTGTTAGTTAAACCTTTTGTGGATACATCCAATGTGTTTATTTTTTGTTTTTTTTTAATTTTTTTTTTAGATATACATTATCTGTTTTTTTTCCAAATAAATAAATTTCCCTCCGCTACTACCCTATAAATTTCGTAGCTTTTTTCACTATTCCGTAAATTGCATTTGGAGATAGTCAAAAGGTAAACTGTTACATAGTACGGTTCATTGACTCTAGTTTATATAAGTATAATTTGTTTTAGATGCACCTGTGTGCGGAATGGCCTCACCCCAAGTGATTGGCGCTGCACTTGACGAGTCGTTGCATGTGCAGTGCTCAGTGCACGCGGATCCTGCCGACATCACGTTTTTGTGGCAGTTCAATAACAGTGGAGAGAGCTTTAACGTATCACCTGCGAGATATGGTAAGGAATAAATTATGAATCTTTAGAAGCTGCGTGTACATTCAATTAACTGAACCAACAACGGCCATTATCAAAAAATTATACAACGTAAAAAGGTTTATTTTCGTCTTTCTGTCTGATTACGAAAAGACACGTTTAGTTTGGATGAAATAGCAGTGTCTGATGGAAATGTGATGTCGAGAATAAAGTCAACATTTTAACTAACCGGTCGCCTATTAAAACATACTGTCACACAAACGCTTACCCTCGGTACAAAAATAAACGTATTATTTGAAAAAAATAAAGAAATAAAATGTTCCTATGAATAATTCCTTACACGGGAATTGTAAATGTTCAATAAAATCTAGTGGACGCGTTATCGATATATATATTCAAATCACTTCTAAAACTAAAGCTACATAATAATGCCTGTTTTAACGTAGAAGATTATATCAAGCGACCGTAGCTTTTGATTTTAAATATGGAAATAAAGAAGGCTTTGTTTTTGTCAGAGCAGTGCCGGCATGCTGTAATTTCTATTAGGATAGCAATCCCGACTTGTTTGTAAGCAATTTAATATATAAATACCATAACCAATAACCATATCATACCATAAAAACAGGCGATTTTTTTATGATACCCACAATAGTGTTAACGTTGGCTATCCATCCTGATAAAACACCGCGCGATCTCAAAGGGTATCAGCGCCACGATTAAAAAGATCGAAATTATATTAAGTAGATATTGTATAAACAATGATGTGCAAAATTGCACTTTAACTGATAAATTCAAAAAACATTGTATATTCAATTTAATGTAAATAAATACTTATTTTTTTATTACTTTTTTAAATATATAATGGAAAAAACACATTCTAAAACAACCAAATCAAGAAGCTTTCCCACCACGGTCACCGTGGGAAGATCAAACCACCGGCCTCTAACAAAACAACATAATAAGTTTATTTGCATATAGTCGCAAAGGATAGAGAACAGTGTAAAGGGTTAGAGGAGGCCTTTGCCTAGAGGCACACCGAACTCGGAGTTATACTGTAGTGAAAATATACTAAATATCACAGATCGCAGAGTTTCGGAACATAAAGGCTTTAATATTTATTATTATTATTATTACTATATATTAAACAATTCTTGAACAAAATAATATTGTACTGTACACGTACAAACAAATAAATAGCATAAAATAAATAAATTATTTTTTCGTAGCATAGAAAACCTGTTGTATAGATCTACGACTGTTATTGCTTATAATTCGGACATACAAGCAGGAAAATTATTGAAAAACTAGAACATCCGTTAGATAAGACTGAGATCCTAATCAGGAATATTTAATGAGTAATTATCGATAAAGAGAGATAAGAAAAATGAATGTCGAGTCATAATTACTTGCAAAAATCTAAAGAGAAAACCAAATATTTAGGAATCTTTCATGTTAACCGCTGTATTTAATTAGATGATAATTTATACCTATATCGGTTGGTTGGCTGAGAGGCGAGAGCCAAAACAATTTTTGTTTACGCACATCACCTGCCTATGAAAAAATATCGTTGAATTATTATATTATTACCATTGCACCACCAGTATAGATTATTGTCATATGACCAATGCCCATTTAAGAGTAAGATAATATGTACTGGTATAGGGAAAAGGTACGAATTTGCAAAAAAAAAATATCAGTGGCGCTACAACCTCAGATTACTGAATCTGTTTCATGATAATTTTTCCATCTAATAGGCAAGTAGGTGATCAGCCTCCATTGCCTGACACACGCCGTCGGCTTTCTGGGTGAGACATGTTGGTTCCCTCACGATATTTTCCTTCCCCGTTCGAGCGAATGTTAAATGCGCACATAGAAAGAAAGTCCATTTGTGCACAGCCGGGGATCGAATCTACGACCCCAGGAATGAGAGTGGCTTGTTGCACTAAGTGTGGGCTTAGTGGCTTCAGCTTTCGATTCTCATCCCTGAGGTTGCAGGTTCGAGCCCCAGCTTTGCACCAATGGACTTTATGTGTGCACATTTAACATTCGCTCGAACGGTGAAGGAAAAGATCGTGAGGAAACTGGCTTGCCTTAGACCCAAAAAGTTGTCGACGTGTGTCAGGCACAGGAGGCCGATCACCCACTTGCCTATTAGATTGACAAATGATCATGAAACAGAAACAGAAATCTGAGGCCCAGACCTAAAAGCTTGTAGCGCCATTGATTTATTTTAAAACCTTTATGTTCATAATAGGTACATTAAATGGAAGCACAAGTGAGTTACGATATACACCAGCAAGTGAGAGAGACTATGGAGCCCTCACCTGCAGAGGGACAAACGCGGTCGGACGACAACTTCAGCCTTGTATCTTTCAAATAGTGCCAGCTGGTACGTATCTTTAAATTTTCTATTAGTCCCGCGAGCTGAAGGAATTTTTTTTAAGGAAACGGCATTATCTTAGACAAAATTGACTTGAAATTCGTAATTACTCAAGGGTGTCCACCAATTCTGTTTAATGTAACATGGTCGGAATCGTTCCAAGAAATAATCTGTGAATAAATCAGAATTTCATACTGGTTTTGTAGAATTAAACTTAGGGACCGTTCAAGTATTACGTGACGCAATTTTTGGAAATTCTTGAACCCCACTATGTAACGCGCCTTAACGTTTTTCTGTACCCAATAGTAAAACGTTTCGTTACCACCCAGGTGTTATATCCAAAAGATACTATTTATGTGGTGTAAAGTTTTCAAAATTCGTTACTTAATACATGAACGCTCCCTTAACCAATCGAAATTCATTTTAACTTTTCACTTATAATTGTAAGTTTTATTTTAATAAATATATAAGAATGTAAATATCGTAGGTACACCACCAATGGAGTAATATAACAGTTTTTAAATTTTTAATTAAAAAACAATTCTGCCACCAGCTCGTCCAGCTCCGCCTCGAAACTGTACAATAATCACGGGAAATGACTCAAGTTGGGAGGAATTCCATAGAAAAGACATCATTGTCTACGTGGCTGTACGATGTGTGACTGGGTATGATGGTGGACTACCCCAGCTCTTGATTCTTGAAGCCTTCGATTCGATTACTGGAGTAACAAAATTTAACGTTACAGCTAATGAAACTGGTATGTTTTCTGGCTCATTAATCTTTTATTAAGGTTTTTTTATATAACAGGTGGCAAAAGGGCAGGACCCTCACCTGATGTTGATTATGACCAGACTTCTAAACTAATGGTAGTTAGTCATAAAAACAATTGATAAACTCTTTTTGGAATGAAGTTTTTTTTTAAGATTGATTGATGATTGATTAAGCTCAATGCAATCATATCAAATAGTGAAAATGCTTTTTATAACAACACTTTAAAAATAATAACTGTAAACCAACAGGTTGTGCTTGAATGATAATTTCAAAGGAAATATAAAGTATGAAAAAGACAATTTGATATTTATAGCTACATTTTTGTGTATACTAATTGTATACGAGGATATTTTTCGTTAGCAACTTTTTATCAACATCAAGCAATATTATATTACAGCTACGATTTTTTAAATTATGCTACTTTTATGATCATAAGGACTTCGAGTGGTAACTCAGTACCTGTACCTATTATATTAAAAATGATTTATGTGTCTTCGAACCAGCATTTTGGTATACATATATATGTTAACGTAAAATTGTAAAAACCGTTAGATTGTAATCTATCTCGCGAGATTATAAACTGTCGAAAGATTGTGAACTAAGCGTACTGCATACAATTTAACGTATTATTATTCGGTAGATTGTAATCTATCGAAGTGAAACCGTCAAATTGTGAATCGGCCATTTTCTACTTTTCTATTGGTTATAAGAGATGTGACATTCTTGTTTTCTATTGGTTATAAGTGATGTGACATTTTCGGTCAATTAATCCAATCGATTATTTCCTCATTTGTTAATTTTAAAGTTGAACCTAATCGAATCGATTATTTCCTCATTTGTTAATTTTAAAGTTAAACCTAATTTAACCATTACTTGTCAAATGTACATACATTACATTAACTTCATGTTTCAATTAGTGTAGGGTTCCGAAAATTTTGAAATTATTCAAAAAGTACCCAAATCCGAAACAGAGCACCCCACTATCCACGTGGTCTAATCTGCTCTACCCCTAGAGTGTATATAAAATATCGGAGGCGCGGAGGAAGAGTCCACCTCCACCCTTGCGTACCAAAGCACAGATAATTTAGTAACAGCTACGGGAAATGCAGCCCGCATTTCCCGTAGCGCCGGAGCTGTCCAAAAAATGTATTATTATTTGGTTAGGTTAGGTAAGTATATTAATATTTTTTTTAAATAACTGTTCAACTGAAACTCGAAATCGAATACAAAAATCGATTTACACTTTTAAAAAATAGATTATTTTTTAATAATTTCAAAATTTTCGGAACCCTACACTAATTGAAACATGAAGTTAATGTAATGTATGTACATTTGACAAGTAATGGTTAAATTAGGTTTAACTTTAAAATTAACAAATGAGGAAATAATCGATTCGATTAGGTTCAACTTTAAAATTAACAAATGAGGAAATAATCGATTGGATTAATTGACCGAAAATGTCACATCACTTATAACCAATAGAAAACAAGAATGTCACATCTCTTATAACCAATAGAAAAGTAGAAAATGGCCGATTCACAATTTGACGGTTTCACTTCGATAGATTACAATCTACCGAATAATAATACGTTAAATTGTATGCAGTACGCTTAGTTCACAATCTTTCGACAGTTTATAATCTCGCGAGATAGATTACAATCTAACGGTTTTTACAATTTTGGTATACATATATACAATAAACACTATGTAGTAAGTATATTGGAGTTCGTAATAATAAATGTTACGCTAAAGTTTTCTTATTGTTATAACGTTTTTAATTTATGGTGGAAAAGTTATTAATAAAATAGAAACCCCATATTTATTTATTTAGAAGTAATACATATATACTTCTTCTTTGAAGTCTTCATTATTGAAGAACGTGCCTGTCTTGAAAAACCCTAACCAATACGTCTACTTGCTGCCTCCACTCTGCTCTACTCCTGCATGTTTCAGGGCATCGGGGATATTGAGACCCATAATCGTCTAAATTTGGTCAGACCAAAGAGTAGGCAATCTTCCCAACTTCTCCAGTTTGTGAGACTATTCGGTTCTCAATATGGCCAAAGTAGCGAAGCACCCGTTTATAAATGATGGTTGACAGTCTTATGGTGATATTTAGTTGGTTGAGAATGGACTTATTAGTTCTTTTTATAGCCTATGGTATTCGTAACATTCACCTTAAACACCACATCTCGAATGCCTCAATATTTTTCGGTCCGCTGCACAAATTTACCAAGATCCTTATAAAAATCTGGAAAATAACAAACATCTGACGAGTCTTGGCAGTATTCGACACGTTTTTGTTTTGCCATATTCTAGTTTGCTCATTGCTGCTGTAGCTGTTATCATCAGTATGCAGTGAACACTAAGCCTTATGAGTTACATCAGTGAAACCAGTAGCATATTTCACACCATGCGATCTGGACTCGACCTGGCTACGGCTATGGTACGACTTGAATGATAAAAGGAAAAATAATTAACATGAGTTCCATAAGAACAGATGGGGTGGCTGTTTTCCTGATGCCTGCAGCAGTATTATGGTCCAGTGGAAGTTCCCTTCGGTTAACGGTTCACTCGCAAAACGATAAAGGCGCTTCAGAACGAGTGGTTTTGCAGGCCCTTTCCTATCAAGACCCAGAAAGGAGAACAGGTATTGCTATAGGGAGTGTGTGTTGGTTGCAAAAAAGCAACTATATTATATAACATTGTTTATTTAAAACAATAAAATTAGAAAAATAAATATGTATTTTATGCAAAATAATTTATTGAAATCTCAAATGACGAATTGAAAATTAAAATGCCACGTGTTTTATTATCGATGAAATAAAAAAAAATATTAGGTATTATTTTTCGACACTTAATATTTTAATGACAATTAAATTAATTAAATTCCTAACATAACTTTTTCCCTCTAAGTCTCGGAAATGTAAAGTTTTAGATTTGTATAAATATGAACAAAAGTTAAAAATTTGTTTTCTACAACTACATTTTGTATAGATGGAAGTCAAAGTACAATGGCTGGGGTGTCACGCGGTGCTTTTTTGGCAATCGTCATCACAGTACTATTCTGCTCAAGCGTTGCCGTACTCGTTGGCTATTTTCTTAGGAAACGAAGGTTTGTTTCAAAGTAATATACATACATATAACCTCTTTCTATACTTATAACCCTCCCTATATATATTTTAAAGTAATTCATGTTTATTTATATACATAGCCATTGTATGCGAAGCATATATATTTGTCGTACACATAAAAAGCCAAGAACAGTATTTCTAAATATTTTTTTTTTAATTATAATGTTCCCAAAAAAGAGTGCGACTTTTCATGAAATACAAATCTAGCCTATACAAAAATCATGGCTAGAAAGTAATATTATGTTGACTTAATTTTCTACAATACTAATGAATAGCTTCAACTAAGGTAATGTTCATCAACAGTCTTAGTGTTCTATAATGATTGGACACTACGTTCGTGTGTCCGAGATACCGCACTTGCACTTATATAATATGTTCTATACACTAGGGTTTTGCTTACAGAAGCGGTACTGTCACAAAACAACAAACGCCAGAGCTTCAGCTTAATGCAGCGGATGGGCAATATGTTGTGGCTTACACATTGAAGCCAGCAAAACATACACAACCAGACATTTTAAATCCACCACCAGGTAAAAACTAATTCACTTTATAGGCCCGAGTTTTTTTTTTGTTATAGGAGGCAGTGATATCGCCGCCCATGCACACTCACATTGCCCGAAGGCTCGCAAGTGCGTTGCTGGCCTTTTAAGACTTTTTTCTGGAAGTATCTAAGTCGAAATGGTTCGGAAACACTTGAGTGGTCAGTTGGTTCCACATAGTGATAGTGCGCGGAAAAGTGTTTTCCTTAAGGAACCCCTTAAGGAAATGCGCGGAAATATCTTTTTTTAAATATTGTTCTATATTGCTCACGGGTTTTCTTTTCACAGTGGTTGCCTGGAAGAGATCGCTCGAAAGCGATAAGGCCAGTTGCCCTCCTTTAATTTAATTATAAATTCAGTATTAGTAATTATGTCAACTGTAATATTTGTGTATGCAACGAAGTGTTAATAATTAAATAAGTAGCCTAATATTTTAATTGAGCCTATTTAAATACACCATAATAGTTCCTACAAAATCTATGTATTTATAAAAATATATATATAAACTTTTTAATATTTTTGAAAATAAGTTTGTGTTTTGCCTAAACGGTTTTAAAATCAATAAACATCTTGTTTGGTAAATATCAAAATACTTTATTTGACAGTAAGCCGAAAAGCACTTTATACGAATCTTAGTATAACGTCCTGGTCCCAGGGGCACAAATCCGCGCTTTGTTCAATATTTTGTGTATCAGAAACCACTTATCTACTTAACGTCGTTCACAAATTTAATTTTGATTTGAAATTTCCGCATATTTTTCTCACTTATCATTTGTCTTTTGTATTCACATGCAATTCGAATAAAGCTCTTCCTTAGACTTCCCGAGCTCGATTTAAAAATAATTTAACTACTTTTAGATTTATCACTTTTTCTGTAATTATGTTTTACACTTTAGGACCCATCTGGTCGCCAAACTTCAAAAAAGTACATTGTTTCTTTCCATTTTTCCATTTTTCGTAATCGTTTCTTGAAGTAGGGCGAATGGAAAAATATATGGTGGAGTTGAGTAATTTATGTTTCCATTTTGAAAGATAAATTAAACACGATTTAAATATTAAACTTCGCTTGATAGAAAAAATCCAATCATAGCCAATTTTTGGCACTTTGGATTCATTTTTTGACGAAAATGTATATAGAACATTATTTTGAAATTTACACGATATATATCGCAAGCCAAGTAATCCATTGCAGAAAAAAATTGATAAAATTACATTAATTTAATGTTTTACATAACTAATTGTTATTACGGGCTGGCGCGCCTCAGTGCTCCAGCTCTCCACTGCGCCCCGCAGTCCACCCCGAGACACTGACACAGCAATTCATGCTGGGATAGGGCCTTAACTAAAGTGACATGCCTAATTACTTCCAAAAAATATGATTATATGAAAACAAATATATATGTGGATATTGTACCAACGATAGTTTTTGACCTTTTTAACCTTTTTTATATATTATTTTACTCATGTCTTTACTTGGAAATTGAGAAACGGTTAGATAATAACTCAATTTCTATCAGAGATGAAACCGACCTACTGATTGAAATGTTTTAAATACCAATATTCATTAGTAACATTAAAAAGCACTTGTTCTAGATGGGAGCCCTCCAATCGAGAGTGTAGAAGCTGTCAAAAATGGCGCCCTCAATAGTGACGAGTGGACCAGCGAGCGGAGCTCCAATTCACAGGAACAACGAAATGTGGGTTAAATTATTTCACATTTATACATTGATATCAATTCATGATTTTTAATTTATAAATGTTAAGGTCTATTTTATTGACTTTAGTTATTCGAGTACTAACCTCACAAGGTTTCAATGGCGAATGTTTATTATTTAAATAGAAAAAGACTGGCACTTTTTTATTAAAATTTATTTATCTTGTCTACTTTACGTTTTATTTCAAATTCTATCTATAGAGATTCACCGAGCATCATCTAACCTTCCGAGTTCATAAACTTTGTTGATGAATAAATCTTCCATTCGATATTGCAATTATATGGCACGATGTTATCGATAATGTCATTAAATGATTTAGATAAGATTATAATGGTGACTATGATTTTAGATTTAAACATCATCTATTGGCATACTTAAACTATACTTAGATTGTATGTCTGTTACTTATTTTAATCTGGGTTTGAAAAACATAAAATGATTCCATTAGGTTATAATAATTTTATTATCTACATAAGTCACGCTTTCTTGTCACGGATCCTCTAAACAATAATTTTAATGGCAGGCCTAAGCTGAAAATTCTGACAGTTCTGCGCCTGACGCGCTCGGGCTGTAGTCATAATATACCAAAGACGTAGACTTGTTTTTTCTTGTAGAGAAGCTGCGGTGGTCAAAGCTGCGTAAACTCTATAACGATATAATTCTTACAGTCGTTGGCGTCGCCCAAAAGTACGTCGAGCAAAGCAACATTAAGTACAGCAACGTTGAGCAGAAGGGAACACTTAATTGCGGAAGAAATTCCGGGACCAGAGAGTTGTGTATAATAGAAGTCCTGAAAATTTATTGTATGTTGACTGTGAAAATTGTGATAATGTAAATACATATTAGGAAATTTTTTGTTGTTTCTTTAAACACAATTAGATTCCATAAGCAATTAATTTTAATTATCCTCAAGTATATTTCATATCTTCGATATGTAGCGTCATGTTTTATAGTAACTAGGTTACTCCGCAAGCGTTATTTTGCAATATAAAGATTATTATAGTACTAATATTTATTTTAATAAAGGCTGGTCAAAAGTCAAGTCAAAATCATCTATTCATATAGGTAACAGAATGTACACTTGTGAACGTTAAAAAAGAAATATACATTAAATACTTTACTGCCAGTTTTCAAATCAAGGGCGTAGAACGGAAGAGAAGAACTGGCAATAAACTCTCCGCCACTCTTTAATCGCCAAGTTTGTTGTTTTACACAACGTTTGTAAGGAGCTGCAACCATTACACCATGTTCCACATGACATCTTAAGATAAATTTTAATAAAATAAATTAAAAACAAACATTTGTCTTCTATCAGCAGGAGGCATGATGAAATAGGAGCACGCACTTACATTCTCGTGGGAACAACACGCACGCTGGTGGTAGAAGGTAATAAATTTAGGGCTTCACACTTAGGGATAAAAAAAACCAACTTATTGGTTACAAACGTTTGAAATTGTGATAAGAAAGGTGTAAATGCGATAGAAGATGCAGAATGACCGCACATCTCTACGCAACGCCAAGGGATTAACGCTCGGAGAGGCATTGGCCGTCGACAATTCGAACCGATAGTTTATTATAATTACTCCACTGATTATAAGAAGATTAAAAAATATTAGTTTTATTACATAAAAAACCGATGAGTGGCCCACAACTATTGTAGATCAAAATATAATTTTGTGTCACAATATAAGTAAACAAATATCAGCGATTGTAAAGTTCAGAATCCTTTGCGGAGCCAAAATGAACACAAATTTTCCGAGTATGTGCTCATTTGCCTCATAATTTTTCATTGAGTTGCCGAGAAATCCTCCAATTAAGATTCTCTTTACCGTTTGCTCGGGAAAAGAAAAATTACGCTGAAAAGGGACAGTCTTCACATGTGTTTACCAAGATTCATGACCCCCCCAATTTATCCTCACCCTAACAAAACGTTTGTGAGGTTCTTTATTGCGAGATATTTTTGTAAATTAAGTACAGTTAGATATAAATCACACCCTTAGCTCCTCATCAACATCTTTTAATGAATTTAACTTCAAGGCCCTGAGTTGGTATTTTTTTTTAAAGGAACTGAAGCTGATTTGATCAGTGAAATAAATATACATGTTAATAAATATAGATTGGATCATGATATAGATTTCTAATAAAGTTAATATTATTTTGTCTATGGTCATTATTTTTTTTATATCTTAAATAGCAAAACATGCTTGCAACTACATGTATAACAGTAATTTATAAACTTCTGAATTTTGTTTTATTCAGGGTAAAAATTGCGCATTGTGGATAAATACTTTATCCCGGAGTTTGATCCTATGAGTATGATAATATTAGATTTTTGAAAAGTAATGCTACATAATATGCTAATTCAGTCCAAAAAATACAATGAAGAAGTCGGCAGTGAAAGTGGTATATTTCTGTACCAAGCTTTTCACAAGCTGCCCATGTTTTTTACATACATGTATGAAATTAAGAAATAACTCGTAAAAAGTAAGTAAGGTACGAAATAAAGTAATAAAATATGTGGGTGGCGAAACGCATATGTCGTTTTACAAAGTAACACTCGGGAGTGTAAGTATCTAATATATATTAGAGAAAAACCACTTCGCTGCAACAATTTGGTGGGTTCACTCTAAAGATCAAAGCAAAGACGTAAACTATAAGCTCACGTTATTTAGAGGGACAATAAATTCACTCACCTATAAGGAACCGTAAAATTTTGTAGGTTGATTGAGTTAGTATTTTTATTGTTTAGGGTCGCGAATCAATGGTGAATGTTTGAGTAATAAAAGCATTTTACGATTGTTTTCACGGAAGAATTTGTGGCCCGTGAAATGCTCTACCACACTCATTTTCTTCCTAAGCCAAGGCGAGCGACACACTTAAGATACATTATTTTAATGGACTATACTTTTTACACGACTCTCGAAGCTAAATCACGTGTCCCACTTTTATAATACTCGCAAACTCACGTAACTAATGTAGCGGAGAATATTCTTGTATATGGTTTTATGTACTCTTTTTGTTAAAAATAACTTACACTAGAGAGACGGGCCATGCTGTAAAGGATACCTAACCAGACACTGTTTATATTTGAGTGTTATAGGCGCCCCAGGTATATAGTAACGCAAAAAATTGAATTGTCTTTGGAATGACCCATATAATTTCTTTTTTATTGATAACATATACGATGACATAGTGTGGTTTCTATCGCAGGCTACTGTGGAGGCACGGGGGCAAGCGTAAGTGGAATAAATGTACTCGGTCTAAGTAAATTTCAACGTCTATGCGACCACAATAACTCGTATATACTTAGAAAGGCCACAAAGAAGCCAGAATTGGTTTTAATAATTGGTACGGAAGAAGGTACTATAGATGTTAACGAATGAACATATATGATAACATGTGAAAGAAGAAAAGTATTCAAACCTCGTCTGAAATGGTGACAAAACTATACCAATCACAAATAAAGAAACATTTACCTTACAACTACACTTACCTCTAAGAATAATGGCAGGAAACTCTTGGCATTCTCTGTTCTTCTGCTATAGCGAAATAGGTATGTTATTTACTTATTCTATAACTAACTGGTAATTTTTACATAAAATTTTCCTGGAATAAAATGCTTAGTAATAATATTACATGGATTATGTAACCTAACATTAGTAAAGTTACATATTTATATTTAAGTTAATAATTAGAAGCGCAAACCAAATGTTAGCAATTATCCCACACTTGAAGCCAAAACTAGTCCTTTAGTTTCTCCCACACTTATATTGTAATACTAGTGGACCCCACAGACGTTGTCCTGCATGATATTTAAAGCGATTAGGATATTAAGCAAAGTATGAAAGTAACGACTGCAGTGCCATCTGCCGGGCTGATTTGTGAATCTAAACCATTCCCAGATCCCCTTGAACACACACAAAAAATTTCATCAAAATTGGTCCAGTCGTTTAGGAGGAGTTCAGTCACATACACACGCACAGAAGAAATATATATATTAAGATAACATTCTTGTTTCCGAAAATGTTCAAAGATCGACTACACCTAATAATAGATAGTAAACGTCAAGTTATATTTTTGTTAGCTTTAATTATATATTAGATATAAGCTGATGTTTTAAACAATTAAAGCCGGTTGACACCCAGCTTCAAACAAATAGTTTCATTTACATATATTTGAACTTCCCTACAAAACCGCCACCGAACTTAACTCATGTGTCGAATTTTCAAAAATAAATTTAATAAATCTTGTATTTGACCATGACTAAATACGAAGACGTGCGACGCAGCTATGATAGATTTTATCTTCTTAGTGTTCAAAATAATTTACATTTTTTTATCCGATATTTATCTGATCAATATTTTGATAGTGAATTTGTATATAAGCACGGAAAAGTGTATCGGTTTAGTTAACCCAGCGAACATGAAGACAACAATAGTGCTTCTAAGTCTAGTATGCCTTGGGTGCGCGGCACCTAACGCAAAGAACTTCCAGGACTACTTTGAGGAGTTCTTGGCTATAAGTGAAACTTTAGAAGGTGCTCATTTAGGCCGCCAGACAGGAAGTTACATGGGATTCGAAACATTCCGTGCGGGTCTGAACGCCATTGACGCTCCAATTAAGTTTCAACAACTAGCCAAAAGTTTAAAACATGTGCCCGAGTACAGAGCAGTAAGTAATGCATTAAATTTATAACAATATTTGTGGAGTGAAGTAGAGATTGAAAAACAATCGACTCATAAGTCCTCTACATGTATATTACCGTGGCATCATTTATATTAATTAAGTAACAATTAAGTAACATTGAATTGGCTACAATTAATCAGAACTTTTAAATTGTAGTCTGTTAGTTTTTTTACTATGTAAATATAAAATTGGTTGTCTTACCTTTTCAGCTTACAGACTTCTTGAAGAATCTGACTATCGATGTCGACTACTATGTTAAACGTTACGAAGACTACGTTACCAGAGTAAACTCATTCAACCCTGACAAGTCCAAGACTGGCAAGCACAGTAGACAGCGTCGTCATCCTATCACTGGATCTACTCTGGATACCAGCATCGTGGACACTGTCAGTATGCTTCCAAGAAGACAGCTCCGTCAGCTCTTCCATGAAAAGATGGCTAACGATGAATTCTTCAGAAGCGTAATTGAGGCAATCAAAAGCGATAGATTTAAACAACTCTATAACGCTCTTTGGGCTAATAGAACATTCAGAAATGTTGCTAACGCACTGGAAGATAATGCATTATCCCTAAAATATCTGTTTGAGGAATTACTTCCAGCATTCTTCGGACAAAATACACCACTTTACGTTTCTTTCCAAATGCAATTCGACGAATTTTTGGACATCATTACTGCGTTAGAGGGTAAACATTTCATGCGTCAAGTGGTTCAAGCCTACGCTACTTTTCCAGAATTCTTAGAAGCCTTGAATTATGTTAACAATATCAGTTTGATAAACCTCTACCAACAGGTTGTATCGCAACCCGATATAATGCCGGTTAGTTCACAAAATTGGCTTAGAAAATAACAGTTTTATTATTACTTTTATGATTTAAGATGTTCTAATAATATTTTTTTTCCAGGTTGATGGCTACCTAAGAAGAAACGATCTATTTATTGCTTACTATATCGATCGTTTCCAACTTATCGTTAGTAAGTAATAAAAATATACAGCATATAATTTATATACCACATAATTCTGGATTTGCGGCCTTTTTATCCCATTTCTGTACTTGTGTGTGTGTACTTAATATAAAATCATAACGTGTTGATCAT